CCTTCCTAATCGCAAAAACTGCGGAGCTTAGCATACTCGCAAGAGATGATAGATGGGGATTCCACGGGAGCTTTAAATTTACTGTGATCCACAAGAAAACAGCGGACTCAACAGGATTAAGGGATAGGTACATTTTTTTTAATTTTTTTTATTATTTAATAATAAACTAAAACTTTGCTTTCTTACACTAGGAAGCGTAAAAACAATGCATTTAGTTTTTTTGGCATTTAATACCATATTATTTTTGGTAAACCAGTGGAGGATATGCGAAAGTGCACCATTCACATCCTCATAATTTAATAAATTTTGATCAACCTTAAAGATGAGCGATGTACCGTTAGCAAACAGTACAACATAAAACAACGCCTGGCATCATTTATATATACTAGAAATAATAATGGGCCCAAAATTGTTCCTTGTGGGACACCCATTTTCAAGAGGGAGCCTGCGGAATTAACATAATTTATACATATTTTTTGATTTTTTCCATTACTAAGGTAATCGGCAATGAGATTGAAGGCGCAGCCACGAATGCCATAATAATCTAGCTTGCGAAGGAGGGTTTTGTGGTCTACACAGTTGAAGGCTTTTCAAAGGTCGCAAAAGACACCTATTGCATCTTGTGACCTTTCCCAGGCGTTATAAATATGTTTGACAAGACAGTGCGACGTCACAACTCTTGTCGATCAGCTTTTAGTGAATCCATATTGCTCATCGTGAAAAATTTTGTTCATATTAAAATGTACCAAGAGTTGATTTCAAATTAGTTTTTCAAAAATTTTCTATATTTGCCTGGATCATTTTTATCCCCACTTTTGAAGACGAGGATTATTTTATTAAATTTCATAAAAACTGGAAATATTCCAGAATCTATAAATTTGTTAAATATTTATGCCAAAATGTGGCGTTGACGATCCGAATGGCGTTGTGGGTAGTGTACCTGCCTCCTGCGCCAAAGGGTGTGGGTTCGATCCCCACTACTGGATAAATATTGTGTGATGAACATAGTATTTTTCTAGTGTCGGTGTTAATATATATAATATGTATTTATTTACAAAAGAAAAGTATGTTTAAGTATGTTTATCAGTTTTCCCATAGTACAAGCTTTGCTTAGTTTGGGACTAGAGAATGTTGTGTAAAAATGTGTCCTAAAATATTTAAATATATGGCATTATTGTATTCTAAGGTGTTTGTTTTAATGCACTAGAATATTAAAATTATAAATAAACAAAATATTGTCTTCTTCTTCTTCTTTGATTAATGGCCTCAAAATATTGTCTTTCTTTGATATGCTCCATATGGACAAAGAATCGTAACATTATCGAACGAAGTGTTACAAGATATTGTTATGCTTTACTATACTATTTTGAGCATTTTATTGGTTATATTTTGTACAATAGATATGTTGTCAATAAAAATAATGCAATACATCTTCGATTTATTAGTATATTTCAATTATTTTTAAATGCGCAAAGCTTCTCTAATAAGAGGTTTACGTAAATAAATAAATAAGCCTTTATTGCTGTTCTTCATTTTTAAATGCCATAAAATATGAGTGTGCCTTAAACTTTATTAATTTAATTAATACTAGTATTGGTATATAAACAACGGCAAACGGTTAATTTGGTGCAGCTTGTCCTTCGACAAAGGCCTCCATTGAACATTTCCATTATTTTCTGTCCTTTGCTATACAAGTCCATATTGGACCTGTTGTTTTTCTGACGTCATCCTCCCATCTCTTGGTCTGTTTATCTCTATTTCTTTTGCTGTCTCATATAATTCTAATTCATTTCTCTTTTTTCTCTTTCTCTCGTCATATGTCCTGTCCATCTCCATTTTAGTTGTTTGTAAGTTCAGTAGGCATTGTTGAACTTTGTTAGGTATCCCTTTTCTTCAATTTTTTTTTATACTTTTACTTAAAAAATTTGCAGTTATATGTATCATTTATGGTTATACTTCTCGCGTAATTAGCACTTAACGTTATAAAATATGTCGGCGCTGGCAACACTGTATACCGGATATGACGTTATCTACTCGAGCCAAGGGACACATGGTCGCATGGAGCAGTGGTCACTTGGATTTCGGCTGCATTCCCGGACGGTGATGTAACCACTAGTGCTGCTTGTCGTTATAATAGTTGTTAATATTCGGATCAAGGTAAAAACGTTAGAACTCTTATATCAGAAGTGGGATTCAATACGAAAACTCGCATTTGGCTGTTCAAACAATCGGCGACATATTTTCTCCTTGTGTACCTACCCTCGTAAAATAAAACAGTGTGTTTTATACTTCCTCTACGTAATGGTGATAAAATCTTTTGGTTAAATGTAACGAAAGTTTTGGTGAGTACCTTCCAGTTAATTAATTACTTATCGTATTTGAGAAAATGTAAAATAGCGATACACAACTGGTTTACCCGGTTAAGCTATCGAGAATTTTAGTATTTGGAAGATTTAAGGCATGAACTGGTGATGGATATCCATTATGAACACCATTACTGGTACTTAGACAACGTAGCGAAACGCGACTGGTGTAACCGGTAAAGCCACCTAAGTTTGATAAATCACTGAAAACTGTGAACGCGGTGATATGCGTCCCAATTGTGAGGAATAAGCCACAGGGTAAGGTATTCTGAACGTGGCGATATGCATCCCAGTTAGGCATGATATATACCTGCAACATTCTATACCCGGCCTCAAAGGTACGGGTATCGCCGTATACCCGGTGCTAAAACCCAGTATCAAAATACCTATAGGTATTAGTTATGTTCAGGCCTCCTAATGGAGACCCGGTATGAAATTGAACCTTTATTTGGTTGGAATTGGAACATTTAGATGTTTTTTAGCAATCATTTTTTTTAATTGAGATTTAATCAGTCTAAATAAGGCTCCATCTTTACCAACGTAAAGAATCCTATTAAAAAAAAAGTAATTCAAAATAAATATTACTGTTTAATCTTATTACGCAATCATTTATCTACCTAATTATCATAGAAATAAAGAATAAATTTATCTTAAGGAAATATTTGGTATAAAATGCCTAAATCATACGTTTCAATTCGGTCATGATCGGAAAGAGCCGCCGTAAGCGTTCGGGGAACTTCGTACCTATTCGGCCGGCGGGTTGTCGCGAGCGTATATACCGCCACCGTCGGACGAGGCGGCCATAGCCATACCTATCGGGTATGGAACGGGCCTCTGCCGTACATACGTCATACCCGGTATGCGGGCGGGTTGTCGCGAGCGTTATATACCGCCACCGTCGGACGAGGCGGCCATACCTATCGGGTATGGAACGGGCCTCTGCCGTACATACCCGGTGTGCGTACTGGCATGTTCATACTGGGTATTTATACCTGTTCCAGTATATACGCCTCATCCCTAATCCCAGTTGTGAGGGATAAGCCACAGGGTAAGGTGTTCTAAACGTGGCTATATGCATCCCAGTTGTGAGGGATAAGCCACAGGGTAAAGTGCACTGAACTTGGCGATATGAGGGATAAGCCACAGGGTAAGGTGTTAATTTTGGTGAGGACGAAGGCGTGATGCAGGACGGTCGAATGTTGGCGCTGGCAACACTGCATACCGGATATGACGCTATCTACTCGAACCAAGGGACACATGGTCGCATGCAGCATGGAGTAGTGGTCACTTGGATTTCGGCTGCGTTCCCGGACGGTGATATAACCATTAGTGCTGCTTGTCTTTATAATAGTTGTTAATATTCAAGTTCAGTAATTGTTAAAACATTAGGATAAAAGTAAAAACGTTAAAACTTATAAATATACCATTATATAAGTAATGACTATGTATTGAAATATTCATCACCGTCATCATCATTTTAGCATGCAAGCGTCGACTGTTGAACATAGGCTTTCTCTAGGGATTTCCACTTCAATCGGTTTGAAGCCACATGCACACAGCGAAGTCCCGCAACCTTAGATTAGACCGTTTATTTTTATTTAGTAAAAATTTTAAAAGCGAAATTAAAATTCGATTTAAATAAACATGCATAGAATATCCATATTTGATGAGGAAAATAAAAAACGAATCGATCGTCAAAAAATTGTATAAGATTTTTTTATTTTTTATTTATTAATAGGTAATTTTTATTTCAAGTACATTTCAATAGAAAATATAAATCATTTCACTTATTGTATTCATTAAAATGAAAGCACGAAAATACATAAATGTCCGTTCAATGTTTTGTCGGTATAGGCATGAAAGAATTAGCAGAATATTCTAATAAAATCCATATGTAGTTGTCCATCACTGCAATATATTTATTTGAGCAGGAAAGTAACTTTTCAATAACCTCTAAAAATATTTTTCTTCCTTGTCTCAAAAATGATCTTCAATTGCAACCTTGAACTCTTCATGATCATAAAAATGCTTACCTCGAAGATCTTAAATAAGGTTTATGGGAGAAAACCGAATTGACCAGAAACAGTATTCGGCTTGACCTTAGTTAATTCTCTAAAATTTGTTTTTTCTTCTTCTTCAAATTATTAAAAGTACTTTAATAATTTGAAGAAGAAAAAAAAGTTTGAAGTTTGTACTGTAATAATTTGGCCTCTAAAACAAGAACTATATTTTTCTATGAAAAGTATTCATATGTATAATAAGTTTTAGTATTTATAGTTATTTATCTACACAGTAATTAGCAAACATATCCTTATTGTCAAAATATTATCTTGTTGAACGAGTAGTTTCTACTTATTGTTATTCTTCAACTTAACGCATGTGCTGAAGCAATTTTATAATGTTAAAAATGCAATCGATCGCCATTACATTAATAGTGATCACATTCGTTTCCTCTATGGTACTCTATGGTACTCTGTGGTTATTCCGAGTTATTTACTTGCAAAGCAAAGTTGCAAATAAATAAGTTAAAAAATTGAACAGTAAGCTTTATATAGGTTTGTCAATTGTATATATTATTTATTGTAGATATAAATAACCTTCTCGTCTTATTTTCTGTTTTAATTCTGTGCCTGTATTATGGGTAAGTCAATGTACATTAAAATTAATTGTAAATAATAAATCTAAATGATCAGATCCATTTGTTTTCTTCAGAAAGTATAGCCCATGATCAAGAAAATTTAAAAGAATTTCTCGCAGAAGCTGAACTTCAACAGTACTTTGAATTGTTCAGGTAAAAAAAATAATGACTTTAAAATAGATTATTTAATACTCGAAATTAAAATGTTCACTGTCATTTTTCAAAGTTTTAAGCTGGCGAAAAGTTTGCGAAACATTTTTGAAAGCATTTATTATTTCTCTTTTTATACCCTAGTGCTTGGCGTATTCTCTTAGTAATTTCTACAAAATTTTATTCTTGATTTTGCTCACTATTCAGTATTCATTATATTTTTTTCGAATGAAAATTATTTTATTACATAAATGAGTACTAGCTCTTTATCTTTACACGAAATTACCCTTATTTAATGAATCATAGTAATAATTTGTTTTTATTGTTATATGTTGTGCTTTTAGTTCAAAATTTGGTATACTTTCAGATGAGTCAAGTTTAGCATCTATATCTCCAGATGTTAAACTGACTGTTCTAATAATATACCAAATATTACAGATGTAATAACATTGCCTTGTTTCATGGCATGATAAGTTTGTGCTACAAACTGCAATGTATTATAGTTATGTAAATTTACTTATATTTTACTGAGATATATAGAGATATGAATCTAAAAATTATAAAGACAACTGGTAAGCAATACTGTATTCTTATAAAACTTAATTTCACTGAATTTACAACATATAAAAAATAGTTTCTTAATATAACTTACACAATAATAAATGATATTAAACACAATAAAAGGTTTTTTATGATTCTCAATATGTGTATAAAAAAATTCTTCCCTAGCTTAATCTTGAAACTTTCTTAAATAAAGTTACTAATACATTAATGAGTGTACTGTAAACAAAAACATTGTTTATCTTTAATAATTCAATTTCTATATTAATTATAGAAATTGAATTGTTAACGATAAACATTATTTTAGAGTAGACTATGATAGCCGTGTCAGGGTGCTCGCCTTTCATTAAATTTACTTGAGATAAGGTTTTTATCCCTGGTGCCAGCACCGATGAAATTGATGATTTTAAGTGCTGTCTTATCACATGCTCAGCGATGAAGGAAAACATAATGAGGAAACCTGAATATTTTCAAGATAATAATAACAAAAAGTCCACAACTTTAGACTACTATAGTAAAAGTCGTAGAGATAAAAAATCTTAATACAGCCTGTATTAACAGTTTTTATTTCCATGACTTTGTTAACAAAATGAATTTTTTTTTAACATGGAAATTGACAATATTTAAATTAACTATTACATATATACAAATTTCTTATAAGCATTTTAATAAAAACGATATGTTAATTTATAATATGTTGATTTTATATGTTTTTATTAATTGGCCAAATTTAAAAAATTTCAAATGTTCAAGAATTGCTAATTTTCGCTTTTTCAATACTTTATATTGCTTATGCGTTGTTATTGCGTGTGCAGTTTTTAAGCAGTGTTTTCATGCAACTTCTTGCTTGTTTTGTGTCATACCTTATATAAGATGGAACAAAAGAAAAGCATAAGCTATTATTTATTTCCAAACTAGATAAGTGTATGTGTAAAATAGATGTTAGTTTAAAGTAATGTCTACTGCATTAGGGCCAGGTAACAGTCTTAGCTGATACACGATATTTTATAGCATTGGTGGCAGTTAATGTTATTTCAAGTGTTGCTATCCATGCAAAACCAGAGCTGCAAAAGCGTTGCCATTCTTCAATCTTATATTGATTTATAAAAATGTTACAGATTTCAAACACTGGCTTAGCATAAAATAAATTATAACAATAAATATTATACCATAATATTCAAATATAACATGTTTATTTTTTAGGGATATACTGAAGGTGACAAAACTATCCCAATTAAAATTTGTAGTATCGGAAGACTTGGTTCAAATTGGCCTGTCAAAACCTGAACAGCGCCGATACAAGAAAGTATATTCCAAATATTTTCCCAACCCTTACATAACTAAAATAAAAAAGTTACTGACAACAAACAAAAAAAATGAAACGGTAAGTTTATAAAAATGTCAAAACTTCAAAATAAATAGTTTCATCATGATAGTTTAATAAAAATGTTTTGATTTTTTTCTAAAACGATAATTTCTACTTGCAGTTTAGTTCTTATGGATGTTTAAAGTATTTCTTTATTTCAATAGTTAAAATTTTTTTGCTTCAATATATGACACATTTATCTTGTAATCTTTATGCCTTGTTTTTATTTCTATTTTAATAAATATTAAGGCCACATTTTTTTTACAACTTACAGTTTTCACTTGGCCAGAGTTCTATTCCCATTGATTTTCAACCCTTTCCTGAAGTTAATATTAAAGTACCCACTAAGCACATAATTTCTATTGAGGATATTACAATTAATAAAGAATTAGGTATGGGACAATTTGGTGTGGTGCAACAGGGCACTTGGACAACAGGAAATCAAAGAGTAAGTAAAATAAGTTGCTTCTAAATGAAACAAGTAATGAATTCATCAACACAATAAAAATCTTGTAAACATGATTTTAATAAACTATAATTATGTACAAGTCAGTTTATAAACATTAATAACATCAGGGCATAATCACATCAAAAACCTTAGAACCCATTAACTATTGGGTAAAATATTACACCTAAGTAATTATGCCTGGTAAATTGCAATAAGTGATTTGTACTAAACATTAAAAACTACTTGGCTCATACCAAATTATTTCCAGAAGTCTCTTATCTTTATTTATATATTAATGCTCCCGTTTACAATTAAGATCAGTAAATTTATGTATGTAATTCATATTAGTATTTTATGGTAGTCTTATTATTTGGTTGGTTTATGGAAAATTCTGGGAATTTGGTAATTTGTTAATTGTTTTGATGTCTTTAAATTTTGATTTTATGTTCTGTTTTAATGAGAATCAAATTGATTTAAGGAAATTTTAACTATTTTCAGCTCCAAGTAGCGATCAAGTGTTTAGGACATGAACGCATGACTTCCAACTCCACAGAGTTCTTAAAAGAAGCAGCCGTAATGCATAGTATTGAACACCCCAACATTGTACGATTGTATGGTGTTGTTTTACATTTAGACTCTTTAATGTTGGTAAGCATGAAAGCAAATTAAAAAAACTAAATTAAACATAATATGTAATCTCCATCTTAAATAGAAAATTGCTTTGAAAGTATATATATGTATACATATATATACTTTCAATATATATTTATATATATACACATTATACTTTATATATAATTTATACTTTATAGACATAGATCTAATACTGACCAATCTATTTATACATATTGACACCGGCTTAAGATTAAAGTGTGTTAATTTGTTGTAAAATAAAAAATATTGATGCCATTCATTAAAAAGTGCATGTTTTCTATTAATTTATAGGTGACAGAGCTTGCTCCACTTCGTTCACTCCTAGAGTGTCTCCGTGAGGTTTCCCTACGTACAAACTTTCCAGTTCCAAACCTTTGCGAATTCGCACAACAAATCTGTGATGGCATGACTTATCTTGAAAACAAAAGACTGATTCATAGGTAAAAAAACTGCTTTTTTAGTTTCCCTTATATGAGAATAAAAATCGTAACATGAAAATGATAAATTAATTTTGTTACAGAGACCTAGCAGCAAGAAATATCCTAGTATTTAGCAAAGATAGAATAAAAATCTCAGACTTTGGGCTATCGCGTGCGTTAGGCGTGGGAAAGGACTATTACCAAACAAATTACAATGTGAACCTCAAATTACCCGTTGCCTGGTTAGTGCTTACTTATTCTCTTATTGTATCATAATAATAGTTGGTTCTTTATTGTTGTTTAGCTATGTATAGATTTCTTTGGTTGTAGAGATTTGTGCTAATTTTACTTCTTGTGCCTGTCTCGGCACTAGAGTTTTTTGCACTGTGAATGTTTGTATAAACAGCATCTTCAGGGAATGCGCTTGGACGCTTTACCAACTAAGCTAAGCAGCTCAAGGACTTAGAACAATATATGTTGCCTTTGCTCTTAAAATTTATCACAAATATTGTTTTTAGTGCTCGTCTCTGCACTCAAGATGCTAGTCTCAACTTAAAATGTGTTTTTTTGTAAATAAATGTTCAAAAACTTTGTAATGCGCCCATGCGCAATCCAATTCTGGTTCATTAATATCTAATCATTGGTGAATCATTCAATTGTGGTGAACCACATGTTTACAAACATTGTAAATCCATTTTGATTCTAGTTATTTGAGATTTTATTACAACATTCACAATGTAACATTAATCTATAATATCTGACAGGTGTGCACCGGAATGCATTCTCTACCTGCGGTTTACATCTGCCAGTGACGTTTGGGCTTTTGGTGTGTGTTTGTGGGAGATGTTTACTTATGGTTTTCAACCCTGGGCCGCCTTTTCCGGGCAGCAGATTTTAGAAGCAATTGATGCCCCTAACTTTCAGGTTTTCATTTCACCAATTTTTATGTTCAGATAAAAATTCTTCATTAGTTTTATTACTCATTATTAATTTTATTTTATTGGGGTAATTTTTTCAGAGATTAGAGCGCCCTGAATGTTGCCCTGATAAATATTACTCTACTATGCTAGAGTGTTGGTCGCATGATCCAAATGATCGACCAAAGTTTAAAGATCTTGGACCCAAGCTTCGTGATATACAACCAGAACAGGTAATTTTAAAAAATAATATCTTAAGATGGAAATTGAATAAATTTATGGAGTAGGAGTAGATATTGTGATTGACCGGCAGATTCAATATGATAAAAATGTTGATAAAAAGTGATTTCAGTAATGTATCAAGTGATCCAGATAATGACACAACGGTGAGACAGTGCCTGTTTAATTTTCCAGGTTCAAACAATAACAGCCTTCCAGAAGCTAGAAGAAGGGAGGCGGGCAAACTTTTTGGAGTATAAAGCGGGGCAAATAATAACAGTACTTGGCAAGGAGTGAGTTTCAGATTTATTTTAACTAAAATCTTATAGTATAGTATGACATGAATTTTTATTTTCACCTGACGCTGATCACATCTTCACAATTGATATCTACCATCGTTCACTGGAGCGTATTGACTTTGCATGTGCTTATTTCTACATGATTTTCACAATATAGATATCCAAGTAATAAAATTCCTTAAGTAATTAACTACACTTCGCGTGCAAAAAAAAAACTGATTCGAGCATCATGAAGTCTTTAAGAAAAATAACTGAGGCTTGAATTATGATTTCCCACTTGAGTTATTGAAGCTGTAGGTTTTGGCTTCTAAATAATGCAAGTAAAATGTTATCCTTTCCAAGAATACTATCCAAATTTTATTATTGTTAATCACAATTTTCGGACCGGTTTACAATAGTGCTAATTAGGGGTATAAAATGAAAAGGATATTTCCTTGACCTCTCCTTATCAAGTATTCGTGACTAGAAGAGAGATCAGTATAAATGTGGTGCATGGGTGTAAAACTAGGACGACTGAGAAATATTTTAATGGAGTGAGTGAAAATGATATGTCTGTGAATCGGGTGAGTATTGAGACGACTACTGATAGAGCAAAAAGGAAAGAAAGGACATGTTACGATTCTACCTAATGTAAGATAGGGACAGAAAGGAGAATAAAAAGAAGTTAGGATTATTTAAAAAAAGTGTTATCAAGAATTTTATCTCATTCTAATGCTTGAACCTTTAGTCTACTCTATTCAATTATAAATCCGATCAAAAGATTGTTTTACGACAATATTTTCATCGCTTGCGATACGTGGCGTATGTACGGTGTGGGTAATTTTTTTAGTTAAAAATTATAATTAAAGAGCTCTGTATCTAAATTGGCAATGGACAAACTGAGACTGATGGAAACTTGAGCCGGTTTTAAAATCTTTCAATAATTAATGTTACATTATCCATGGGTGATATATATAGATATAGGCTAAATACTTTATATTCTATTAATATATACCTTAATAAAATTATGCCTAATACGAAAACCGCTTATTATTATAAAATTAATCTCAATTTATAGGAGCATGACAAAAACTGCTATGTGGTATGGTGTCCTGCCTGGGGGCACTTGTGGTATGTTCGACCCTAATCATACGAAACCTTACTCCAAAACGGAGGTGAGTCGAAGTTCTAAACTATTATTTAATACTGACATTAGTTGTGTATAAAAACAAGTCCACAATTTTATTAACGAAAAACAAAACCGACTTCAAATTTTTCAGGAGTTTCCTTAGTCACCCCAAGTAGTAGTATCCCAAGATCCGATACCAACGAAATTAGTATGGGACCACATGGGACGCATCAGCTTTCATCTTCTTTGTTAAAAAAAAAATAATCATCAAAATCGGTTCACTCAGTCAAAAGTTTTGAGGTAACAAACATAAAAAAAAAAATACAGTCGAATCGAGAACCGCCTCCTTTTGAATTCGGTTAATAATAGCATTATTTCTACCACTGTCTCAAATTAAAAGAAACAATATGTAACACAATATATTTTAATAATAAATTAAACCCCATTGCGAAATTTCCCCAGAGGGGGGCTGTGCACGCGCCCAGCCTGTCGCCGCGCCCGGGTCGCAGCTCGCCGCGCGCCCTCCCCTCCATCCTCCGCTCGGACGCGAAGCGGCACACGTACACGGGCAAGCGGACGATACAGCGCAGCATGATATCCAGCCCGCAGGGGGAGGTGAAGCACACCGGTCACGTGGGCCTCGACGGCGCCTACTTCGGTGACATCTCGTTCCTCGACCCAGCCGGATGCGTGAGTACCAGCGACCACCCGGAGCTCGTCGGAATGCTGCGCTGTGTGTGTGTGTGTGTGTGTGCACGGCCCCCGGTATCCGTCACAATGCTGCGCTGTTGACAGCGCTCGATTTCCGTCACAATGCTGCGCTGTTGACAGCGCTCGATATCCGTCACGATGCTGCGCTGTTGACAGCGCTCGATATCCGTCACAATGCTGCGCTGTTGACAGCTCTCAATATCCGTTACAATGCTGCACCGTACTGAACCTCCGACAGTCATCACAATGCTCAGCGATAGACAACCTTCAATATCCGTCACATTGCTGCGCTGTACACTGCCCCTGTTGTTCATTACAATGCTGCGCTGTACACATACCCTTATGTTCGTCAATGCTACGCTGTACACAGCCCCCAATATTCGTCACGAGGGTTCGTTGTTATCGAATGCAGCGCGAGTATTGACAGAACTAAAATTATTATTCTTAGATTTACCCAGAATGATTTTTAATTTTTCAAGACAGACCTATACAAATTATATGGGATTTTCTTAATAGAAATCCCCACTAATATAATAAATATGAATGTAAATTTGTTTGTTACGCTTTCGCGCCAAAACTACTCAACCGATTATATTATGAAACTTTGTACACGTATTCTTTGGGGTATTAAAAAAGACATAGTACACTAATTAAAAAAAATATTTAAGGCCTTCAACGCGGGCTGAGCCGCGGGCGAAAAGCTATTTAATATCATAATTCCAACACCGCGTCAGACTTTAATAGACTTTGATAAGGCAATGGGTGAAATGGTCGTTGGTTCCGTATATACGAATTGCCCCGTCTGCCGCAGCCGCCGCGCCAGGTGGTCACGCCGTACAAGCCCTCCGAGGACCTGGAGCAGGTGCCGCTGCTCAACCCGAACTCGCCGTCGCACCTTTCCGCCGCATCGTGCACGCCCCCCTACCCGCTGCTGACCGCCTCACGGCCCGACGCGACGCCCGACTGCGACGAAGTTGACTTGTCCTGTGGGTACCTACAAGTTCGCCCTCCCCCTCCCCACCTCGTGCAGCGCCCTTCGTACCGTCACTTCCCCCAACCGCTCGGCAAGTGAACCCTTCCTCAAGGCCTCGTTTTACTTAACTCCTCGTCGCTATTTCGCTGTCATTGCTAGGGGGCATGACACCAGTTATATCATATTATGTTGTAAGCTAATATAATAAATTAAACGCGTATGCGATTAGTGTGCTAAATGGTTTTGTAATTTCGTGAATAAATATTTGTGCCTCCATGATTCTTTATAGACTTTATGTACTCGTATCATGCAGATCTATTTTTTTCCTTTACAATTTAATAAGCAAATGTTATTAAATTAGGTACTTAGGATAATGCATATTTACTTCGAAATTTACAACTTAATTTAAGGTTAGCACGCCAACTAGGGTTTTCACTCAGCTGAAATGAATTAAAATTTTCGCTAAGAATTCTACAAAGGAAAATTTTATTAGCGTTTCGTTTTTCAAATAATACATCATCTTCGTTTACAGACAGCGAAAATAAATCGAGGAGTCACAAAAAATCCCACCTGAAATCAGTTAACGAACCCACCACGAGCAAGAGTCTTTTGAATAAGGTAAATTGTTTCTTTGCAGTGATATACGTTTGGTTTATTCATGTTTTATAGGTTTATAAATTTTTTATAGACTATTGAATATACATACCATATTGGAATGAATGTATGTACCATATTACACAAATGTCCAGATGATAAGTGTGTCTCGGCTTTACAGATGTAACTTCAATGGGGACACGCTACGGAAAATCTAATTTCTTTATGCCCTATACATAGATTAAGCAACCAGACAGCAGAGTTTTTTGCCGGTTCTGCTCTGGTCAAGTCTAGTTTAGTGGTTAACCGGTTGTAGTTTTTTGACGGTGTAGGAACTTGTAATGAGCCTATATTGAATAAAGTTTTGACTTTGAACTTGATTAATTGCGGAATAACATTTCCGCTTTCGTTCGTAGGGACTATAATGCTTCAGCGGCCACAGCGGCCACAGCGGCCACAGTGGCCACATAAAAATTGTAACTATATATATCGCTGGGCCAGCGCAAGTCTTCAACGTTTCAGCTACACAACTTACTGGGGGTAACAGTCCAATATTACGTTAGAACCACGCTTTTTAGGGTCTCTCACCCAAAAGTAAAACGGGACCCTATTACTAAGACTCCGCTGTCTGTCTGTCTGTCTGTCCGGCTGTTAAAAAGCTGTATCCCATGTGCCGCGATAGACTAAAAAACAAAATAAAAAAACATATTTAAGTGGGGCTCCCATACAACAGCCATAATTTTTTTGCCCGTTTTGTAGTGAGTGCCCTTCGTGCGCGAATCCGACCGCACTGGGCCGGTTCTTCGCACTTACGGTCCATTCCACACCTACATTGTGAATCGCGAGCGGCTGAGTTTGGAACTCGGTGACCCACGTCAACAGCTTTCCGTTTCTCGTGGCACAATTTGTCCCTTCGCGGACGTCTTCATCGAAGCGTATCGTGCTGCCACTGCTTCCGCATTAAACGTTTGGTCCGGTTCCAGGTGAAGAGCGCCACCCTCGGCCGGTCGCACAGGGGCGAGGAGTCCGCCGCGAGGAGCGACGAGGTCCACGAGTACCACGAGATCTCCGACACTGATACGGTGACTAAACAACGTTCAGCCATCGACGAGACCCACGCTTTGATCGACGAGCAAAAGCTCGATCCGCAGGCGCTTCGTATTTCGCAATGCTCCCACTTTAGACGTGTTGCCGTCCTTTGCGCTCTTGTGTGGAATGTCGCGACTGTCGCGCCATCTGTAGACGCGGTTTCCGACAGGGTTCCCTTACTTCCTAATTAGGCTTTATACACACTTCGTAAGAATTTTGTGGTAATACTTCAAAAGGTAGGTGACGGGTGATTTTTGAAAATCATAAATTTTTTTTTTTCATTAAAAAATTATCAATATGACACGAGGCTATAAAATTTATTAACTCGAGTACAATCATTGTTTATTGTTTTTTTAATGCAATGTGGTCTACATTGAGTATTACTCGTCACCGAGTTATACGGTGCTAAGCTCATCGTCATTATCTCGCGTTAATTTTTTTTTTCGTTAAGCGAATAAGTACAATATAGAATTAATAGTCATAAACTATCCGAGCGTCACTGCTTTTATGTTTCAAGCATACACTTTTTACCAAGTCAGATTCACGTTCTGTTTATATTATTATATTTATATTTCTTTTTAAATCTTTTTTTGTATTTCTTATTTCCATGAAAGTCTAATTTCAATGGGACTGGAAGTGTAATTTCGCCCTGCGTGGTTTTTGGTCACTCAGCCTTTGCAGTGGCATCAGTGTTTTTGTTAGTTTTTTCATAGTTGACAACAACCCGTGCCTCGTGTTACAGGAAAGTATGGCGGCAGATTTAATTAGAGACGATAACTTTGTACTGCCCGATAGTCCTGGGATTGCGGTGAGTGTTCCAAGATATGTACAACAGTTCCAAAATTACTTACTAATCCTAAGGCATCTTGTCTCCAAACTAACAATCGGATACAAAAACTTTTGGGGTAAATCGGCAATGTTTTCCTTTTTACCCAATGTTTTTTTTTTGTTACCTGATAGGTGTATTGGATAGCGAACCTATCCCTTGCACCGGAGGTGGTAGGTTCGATCTATTCTATTGGAAAATTATTGTGTAGTGAACATAGTTTTTCTAGGGCCTGGGTGTTTATATATTTATCTACAATATGTATTTATTAACAAAAGGCGAGTCTGTTCAAGTATGTTTATCAGTTACCTAGTATCCATAGTACAAGCTTAGCATTGTTTGGGACTAGATAAGGTTATGTAAAATTGTAAGTGTATGTCTTACACTTACAATTTTTTCAAGAGTTTCCATGACGGAGTTATAATGTTTTATGAAAAAGATTACATCTGATAGTTTTGGTCATGTGAACTTAGTCCTAATAGAGGTTTTTTTTACCTTTTTTTCCTTTAAATTAGAAATGTAAATAGTGATCAATTCGTTTTTAAATATTGCCTGTCCCGTCACTGTGGATACTACGTTGTTTTTTATATTTTTATTAATTAGTTTCAATTATATGTGCTTAGTTGAAAAACAAATTTTTTTGCTGTTTACTTTGATTATTTTTAAAATGGGTAAAGTAAAATAAGTAGAGTTTGATATTTAATCATTCAAGAACTATTACAGTTCCCTTAAATAATTAAATAATGCCTAATTAAATAATGGTACATGTTGATATTACCGGTAGTGTTGTATAATTGTACTGATAAACTGAGAGCTCTTAAAACTGTGTAGATAAATATTGCCCAAAGGTTTTTCTTTCTTTTTTGCCTTTTTCTTCATAAAACTTGCCCCTAATTGCCGTTATACTTGCATGCATTTATATTCTAACACCAACACATATATCAGATATAATCGATATGGGAAAACAAGGTACTATTGTTTATTCTAACGTAACATTTTATAAAGTAACTAGCTGCTGCCCGCGACTACGTCTGCATAGAGGGGTGAAAATTTAGGGTTGTATGTATTTTTGTATGCTGTGTCATAAAAAAATAGAAACAAAAAGTTTTATATAAAAAATAAAAAAAAAATTTAGGGGTGGACTACCCCCTTAACATTTAGGGGGACGAAAAATAGATAGTAGCCGATTCTCAGACCTACTGAATACGCATATAAAATTTGGTAAAAATCGGTCGAGCCGTTTCGGAGGAGTTCAAGTTTGAACTCCGTGACACGAGAATTTTATATATTAGATATTAAAATATTGAGACGTAAGAATATACTCCGTTAGGGCATGGAAATAGGCGTGCCAAGTTCTGAGATCATGTACTACGGTTGTCTACAATGGTATTCTTAATAATTTTTATTGGTTTTATATTCATTTTATCATTTTTATTTATTGTTGTTTCTTTGCATGTTTTTTAATTGCATGACAGACGGTATTGTGGTAAATTTTTTGCTTTTCCATTTTCTCTATTTAATTACACTCATTAGCTAAGGCCTCCTTCGTTTAACGCTTCTTGTGCCAACCACAACAATTGATGCTTAATTCTCTTACACGGGATTATGTACTGCCATTGAGGCTGTTGCTAGGATCAGATAAAGCACATTTGGCCGTCGATGGTGCCTTATAACATATTCTTAAATATCCTGTTTTGTCTTACCAACAAAAACAACAGACCCCAAAGAACAGACCATATTCCACTCTTTAATTATTGAAAACTGTCTCATTGCCTGTAATACTTTTTGTCTCTATTCACTTTTATATCTATATGTTCAAATGATAAATTAGCCACAATCCTTACTTCACCGTTCACTTGACTGTTGGTGATTATATGACCATAATTGTGACCTCAAGTACATATCCTCTGATGGTAGACATATGGGTTGGACATAGGGTAAGGATCCTACCCAAGTAATGTGACGGATATGGAAACAATTACTGTTCCTCTGACTCCGACGATGTACATTCACTAAGTCCGACATGTTTATTTGTCAAAAGTTATCATTATGATTCTATTTATTTCCTCTGTTCAGAAGGGCTACACGGAATTCGGCCAGAGCCTGCTTGATGAGATGGAGTCGATGTTCCGTAGTCTCGATGGCAGAAAAAATGATGTAAGTTTGTTTTGAGGAATCAATTGATATTGTTTTAATATAACACACATATGATAAGATGTACGTAGTACAGGTGATTATTTCAAGACTAAAGGGGTTTATTTATTGCAAGAGAACAGTGGATAGTTTTCTTAATATGGGATAAATATATAAAAGGAAATTGAAATATATAAACGTATAAGTATAAGTACGTACGTACCAAATAACCTGCGACGACGAGATCTCCGTCCATTCTCCCTACAGCAAAAACTGTGCAGATCAAAAATATATAAATTAATTATTTTATGTATATGTAACATATATATTTATGAAGAAAAAAAATTATAATCATTATAAAAAATAAATAAATATGAACTCACTGTTGCACCGCTACCAGCCCGGTTGATGTACGCGGCGGTGACAGCCCAAAAAGAAAATTTACAAAAAAAAACATGTTAATCAAAAAAGAGAATCACGGACCACGAGTCTGTAGAGTTACTTTGTTAAAAAAAAAAAAAAAAAATAAAAAAAAAATATATATATATATATATATATACATATAAACGAATAATAATGACAAAGAAGTGCAAAGACGAGTAATAGAAAAATACTATATATTGATAACGTATAAACTTATGATGCTTGTTTCAGTGATTAAGTTAATAACAGTAACGTGATTCTTGACGTTGTATCCCAATGATGAATTTAGTAATTTATAACTTAGATTTAAATTTTATTCAATCAGGTTTCATACGTTAAAGGAAATAATGGATGGTAAGGTAGACGTTTTGTAACAGAGTGCTGTTTAAGGTTTTTAAACATTCGTCTAGTAAAGTGAACATCGATAAAGAAATCATAGTTTGCCTGTTAATGTGACTGTTATATCATTGATTTTTAGTTTTTTGAGAAAAATACATACCGAAATTGAATATAAGCATTCTTTATCAATGTTCAAGTATTAAAAGTACAGTTTACTACAATCATAGAATCATACATTATAAAGTGTTATTTAGTACACCATTATTATTATTATTAAAGATGTTAATACCATGTACATTTCGCTTTAGATAATATCAATATTATGGATCCGAACATTATTATTGTGAACATTTTACCAACACTATGAAAAACAGCAATTTTAAATTTGGCCCGATTTTATGGTCAAAATTAACGAGGTATTTTTTGTAATTTATGAATATCTGCCTATAACGAGAATGAAAGCAAAATGACTAAAGTGACACCTGTCCTATTCCTATTATGTTTTTATATGAAATTAAAATAATTTATTATAGGTACTTAGTATAAATTAAAAAAAAGACAGTTCGTAGCTATTAATACCGCTGTTTTCCCAGAATTATGAAAATGAATCTATAACAAATTTTTATTTTTAACACAAAAATGGTGGGCGTAGTTCATACCTAACAAGCGAAACGCATCTTTACATCCATTACACATATTATTTCCCTATTTGAAACTACAATATTATATTATGATCGAGTTATTATTTGGATTTACAGTTAAACCTGTTTAAGTGAGAACTGGGTAATCTGGTAAGCAAGAAAACCCTATAAGTGGGATTAAGTTCCTGGTCCCGCCAATTTTCATCTCTAACACCTCTATGTATTAGAAATAAAAGCCTCTATATGAGAGATTTGGACCCTTAGATATTCGTGCAGCCAACCGCAACCGCAAAAGGCAACCGAGACTGCTACTTGTCTATAAAACAGTAAGCGAGAGTCGAGCATTCGCTTAACACTTGCGGTTGTACGTTTATGGCAATGTTAAATTTCTCCGAATTTAACATAACTTAACTTAAATTTAACAAAATAGCACCTGTACTGTTTGTTAAACTGTCTAATGTTTTATAAAATTTCGGGGAACACAGGTACTTACGTCGTCTTTGCACATATTTGGCCCTAAGCTTGAAAAAATACTATTAAATTTACGAATTATAAAAGAATTTAGCAATTTAAAGGACAGAAATAAATAAAGGACTTTTTGAAATAGAAGTGCAAGATTAGTTGTCTTTTTTTCTCAAATGTCATTAAAATTATATATTATTATTTTTGTGAGTAACATTAATTATGTCATGTAATACAATTATTTAGTATCAATCATTTAACCTCTATTAGTTATAATTCTAACTCGGGTTAGTGAGAAACCTGAGAAGGAGATTGCGGTCTCTTGAACTCACACTTATCCAGGTTCGACGGTATTATTCAATTCATTGTTTACATAAAATACCTCAAAGTACAGAATACAGAACTCACAATAAAGTTCGAATACACGTAGAGAAACGTAGTTTAGCTTTGGTTTAGATAAGGTAGATGACTTCTGATTTAACTGCACTTGGACTCTCGGGTTTTATACATTGCTTGTGCAATGGCCGTGCTCCACTAGTATTTAGCAAATTTTGGTGTTGTCCGTACTAGAGGCTAATCATTTTTATTGTAAATTTCACACCTACACCACGTTTCTTTTATCAATATTACATAATTTTAATGTATTATGTTATATTGACAAAGTATACTATAATAATTCATAACCAATGAACGTTAGTATCATTACATGACCAAGAGATGGCGCTGTATTCAAAAAGTCCACTGAACTGGATTTGTCTTTATTAAGAGGAACATGAATATTCTTGGCACTATTGACCAAATACATACTAATTTCTAAGCAGTATCAAATATTCTTTTGATATTTGAATTTCACTCAGCAAATTCCTGTCCTATTTCACGATACCTACCTCATAGATACACCAAAGTCAATTCAGTGTTTTTAATTTACAGGTATCAAGTAAGCATTTCGACATCGAAAGCGCTATGAGGTAAGACCGTTTAAATCGACCTAAATAATTTTCGATACAGGCATTTTTGTAATTTCTAACAGTAATAAATGTATGTTAGTTCAATATCGTTAATTCTGTCAGAATTTTTACATAACTAGTGGACTCAGAGAGATGGACGGACATGGAGCATGGGTCACAGTATGAACACACACAACACGAAAACAATATTCAATGGACTAATAGACCTTCGAGTGGTTTCTCATCTATGATAATTGGTCTGACCAATCATCATAGATGAGAAACCACTCGAAGTTGTTCAGATATTGTATTTACCTTGGCCAAGAGCTATATGGTGGGGTAAAAACAACTTTGAAGGAGTTTCAGTTTTATTTGAAGGATATGATCCGAATTGATGTAACCTATCTCAGGTTAGGTATGAAGAAATAAATAAATAACCCGACCGAACCAAGGCTATCCACATAGCTCTCGGGCACGAAAGCTGAAAAGGCACTAACAACAGACGAATTCTAAATTAGCGTCCGCGTTTAGACAAACGCAGCAAAGGTTGCCATCAGCCCAGTTGAATTAACGAATTGCGTAAAAACGCTCACGGCAACTGGATACTAACATCGCAATAGGAGAGCGGTACGCCCAGCAGTGGACAACCAAATGTGATCACTGACGATTGCGACAGATTGTGGTCACTGTGTAATAAACCTTATTTTTTAATATTTCTAGATCCCATACGCTCAGCAAAGCGGAGAAGAAACGAAGCATCAACACAGGTACAATGAAGCTGATGTCCGCACACGATGAGAGGACCCTAGATACCGCCGTAGCGCTGGCCAATGAGATCACGACTCGGTCAGTAGATGTTATAAATATCGACATCTGTATTAAAATTAATACAGCTCTTTAACGATGGCATAGTATCATTTAATTTACGAATAACCTATTTGTATCAAACACGTCGGGAGTTATTCTCTTCGCAGTCAGAGTCCGGGTAAATCTTATGCGAGTCCTTAATATTTTGCAAGCCCTAAGATCGTCTGATGAACAAAAAGACCATGTCAATATCAAACGCCACATAATCAGCCTTTACGATAAACAATTGTTTAGGTTACAATAGCCAGATTTGCTAATCGCTACGCCTCTTCTGTTTAATTTTTTCCTAAGATTTGCTATTTTAGCCAACAACAGACGATTAAACAGAGGTTACAATAATGACTTAATCTCAGTATAGACGTCAAGGTTAAGAAGTTTTAAGAAAATTACCAACATGCTAGCGGTTAATGTGCTTTAGCAGTTAACGCGACCTTTGGCAAGTGAGCAGGTGGTTCACATGATGTTAAGGGATTACAACCGCCCATGGACATCTAAAACATCTGATGGGTAGCAAATGCGTAACTTACCACAGTGAGTGTTGTTATAAAATCAATATATAATTTAAAATAATACAAAATCAATGTTTGAATTTCACCATCACCATCAACATTTTCGCCTGTTTTAATCCACTGATGGACTCAGGCGCGCCCACAGACTGCAACGAAGCACGATCCTTGACCGCCACCATCCATCGGTTTCGCATATTTGCACATCTGCTTGAAGTTTTTTTTTCCAAGATTGTAGAGCCTTGATAGCTCAGTGACCGGGCGCTCGCCTTTAATTTAATATACTCTAGCAACCCGAGTTAGATCCCGGTGCCAGCACCCAATGAAAATTGTCAATTTAAATGCTGAATTACCACGTGCTCAGCGGTGAAGGAAAACATCGTGAGGAAACCAGCATATTTTCGGAATAATAACACAAAATATTTCGAATATATGTGAAGTCCGCCAATCCGCAGTGAGGTCCCGTGGTGGACTACGCCCTGATACCCTCTGTACAGAGGAGGCCTTTGCCCAGCAGTTGGACATGCATAGGCTGATTACTTAACTTTACCAACACTGTATAATATATATGTTTATTTATATATTTATATTAAAATATATATGTATATGTAAGGTAATACTTAGTGTATCGTTTAGAAGTATTGTATGCTAGAATTATACTATGTGTTATATTTTCATCTTTAATAATTATGTATTTTTTTCTTTTTAGTTTATAACTGTGTTTGTGCACCTACCTCAACTTCTCAGTACCACCCTAAGGTTGGTACTGAGAAGTTGAGGTAGGTGGTAGAAAATGCTGTCAGCATTAAGTCCGCCTATGTACTGTTTTGTGCATGAAGTTTAAAAATAAAATAAATAAATAAATAAATAAATATACCAGGCGTTCGTTTCAGGTCGATGAATGACCTGGACGGCGACCACAAGTTGCCCGGCTCGCCGAGCGATCGCTCCAAGTTCCACTTCAAGTTTCCACTGGTCTCGCTCCATCACAGCACGGCCCACGAGACCGAAGCGGCCGGTGAGTTGAGCCTCCGCGTTTTGCCGACGAAGGCTTTACTTACATGGTGACGTGATCTGCTGTGGGTATAGTCGCTAATAATTGTTTTTTTTCGTTCGCCAATCGAATCGGTCTACACGACAAATAATAATACGAAACAAAGGCACTTATAATTAAGAAATGTAAAGCCAGTAGATGAAATCTGATTATATTGTATATTCATTTGTCATAGGTTAATGGACACCTCGCTAACAATGAATTTGTCTCCTGACTGTTTGTTATACCGAATTTTGTATCAGGCTGTTTGTTTTTAGGTAAAAATGAGAAGCGAAACTACAGCGAAGAGGCGAAAAGTGTACCGGACATACAGGTAACAAACGTTTCCCATACCTTTTAAGATTTCGCACCCGACGCCATCTGCTGTCAGATTACTGGGAATGTGGTAACACCTACCAGGAGGGCTGCGTTAAATGCAAATATCTTATTGCGTATCCTTCAGTTACTCTCAAATGCTGGCAACGGGCCGCAATCTTTTCATTAAGACATTGGAATGCAATATGGTGACTATCACTAACCACGTCACGAGCCGTTTCCCAGTCCGCACCCAAAGGAAACCATAGGAAACATAGAAAGAGATAGCTGTAGTTAGCTGACTCTGGCGGTAAATAAGGAAGCGCATTCGAAGCCAAAAAACCGCCAGGCGCCCAGTCCGAGTGCGGATAGAAAGAGACAGCTGTCTCACTGTCAGTAAGCGCGTTCCCATTCACGAAACTAACGCGCGCCCGTCTCGCTGTCAGTAAATAGGGAATGCTCCTAGCCAGAGCTAGACGGCGACATACTGCCGTCTCTGTCAGTGCACGACGGCCCCGCCCGCTTTCGCCCGCAGTCCACAATAACGGAGGAGAGCAAGCTGGCGTACGCGAGCCTGATAGAGGAGCCGACGCCGTGCTCGTCGCTCGTCGCTCACATGGAGATCTCCCGGAAGCCGGCGACGATCCCCAAGCCCGCGCCCCGCCTGAAGGAGCCCCGCGCCAACTTCCTCTCCCTCCAGAAGCAGCACTCGCACAGGAGCGCGTGAGTGTGCACGGTTCCTCTCTTCTCCCTCGGACCAGGGTCAAGTCTGGGAGAAAACTTATCGAGTCCGATTTCTCGATCCGCGTGTATCGATCGATGCGGTTGCATTTGGCTAAACTACTATTATTTTAATTTTTTATAAATAATTTAATCAATAATTAATCATAAATCAAGAATCTAGACAAAAACGTATGAAAGTGCCATAAAGTCTCTTTTTAAACTTTTATTAAAAGGGTCTTGCTGATGCGTTCAGTGATGTCAATTAACTATAAATTCGTTTTTTCTCGAAATTTAAAAGTTCTATGTATTGTACAGGTCGCTTTAATAAATTCTTGAAACGGGGATACATTTTTTTATGTCTACTACGTTAATAGTAAATGACGTATGGGCTTGTTCTTTATTTATAAGTTTCTGTATACTTTTAGGTCGTCGACAACTAAAGAAACAGTAAATCAGCAACTGGTTGCAGATGACGTAAGTAAATTATATCAGTTTTTAACAGTTGTAAGTAAATCACAAAACATGTACCTTTTCCAATAAAGCTTTCTTCAATTTAGATTTCGTTTTGGACTTTAGCTCTTATTACTCCACGCCTAAACTTTTCCAAAGCCTTTCTAAGCCTCACTAAACCTTCATTAAAGGAATGTTAACTAATCAAAATTCTTTTATCAAGTGATGTTCTTTACTGAGTCTTCAATATTAAAACATGTAGAAAAAATACGAAAATATTGTCGCCGCTGTGGGAATCGAACCCACGTCTTCGGCATTCGCGGCCTGACGCTCTAGCCACTGAGCTAAACGGCTGATAGCCACAGCGACGAAAATCTTAACGCCTTGCTTGGCGCATCTATTGTTATGACCTTTCCAGCATACAAACAATTTCGAATATCGTTTTACAACGATAATTCGAACGAGAGATGTCGCCATTGCTTCAATATCGAGTCTTCAATATCTCTACTTCAGTATCTTCATAGACACATATGTTTATTCCGTTCGTGCCAATGTTAGTCGCCACCCGAAAAATTCCAGAGCACAAACGAGCTGCCATTGCCGCCGCGCACGACCAAGCCCAAGTTGGTGGACAAGCCGAGGCACATCAGGAAGTATCCCCTCAGGCTGCCGGACGCCCAGGCCGCGGCGCAGTCAGCCAGCGGCGAGCAGAACGGCCGCCTCATAATATACCAGAACGCCGTGACCTGCTCAATGAAGGAGAGGAACGGGCAGACGGAGAGGGGGCGCGCGGGCGGCCACGGCAACGGGGTCGACGTGTTCGACGGGCCGGAGAGGGCGCTGGCGCGCACGAATCCGTTCGCGAGCGTAGCGGGCCCCGCATCGGCGAACCCGTTCAACTGCTACCTGGAGACCGTCGCGGGCGACGCCGAACGCGACGCCGCCAAAGAGGGCGAGCAGTACTTCGAGGAGGGATCGCTCGTCAAAGGTCCAGCCGCCCTTTTGTTCCGCGACGTCCACTTCACCGAAGTTATCGGAATTTGCCACACGGCCACCGCTGAACTGTACTTTAATAACTTTGGCGTGAGAAGGTGGCAAGTCGATCTGCGGTACACCTGATGATTGGTGATAATCGCCGTGGACGTTTGCAACACCCTTAGGGTTGCAGGTGCGTTGCCGCCGTTCAATAAAGTGGGCCCCGGCTACCTCACTCACCAGACGAAACGCAGAAGTGTAACACTTCCACTACACGGCTGTCTTCTGTGAGGTTGTACTTATCTGGACGGCCCTGCCCATTCGTGCAACGGCGAAGACTGTTGCGTGGCCCTACCCCCCCGGTATGTATTGGGTAAAGTATTCACTATGATCGAAAATATTTACTGAGGTAAGTGATCATCGCCGCCCATGGACACCTAGTCAAAGGTTGCAGTCGCCAACCATAAAGGAGTAGAGTTAGTTCACTCATTGAAAGAACCGGAAAGGTAAATATTTTGGCCTGGCCATAGACGTAGATATAGAAGAACTATATCTTGTCAGGCCGTGATACAGACAAACCGGCCACTAAGAAAGTGAAATTGTAATTGCAACATTTGCAAACTAATATACTCTGAGACCAATATTAAGATCCTATATAAGCCTACGGGCCTTTCACTGTATCTGTACTAGGATCGATCAATCGATCGATTTACGCGTTATGTGGATATTTGGTTTAACGATTCGCAGACCACGTCTCTGTTGAGGACCTGTTGGAGTTCGCGGATCAAAAACCGTGCGGGAGACAACGCGGCGTCGAGTCCGACGAGGTCAGAATAATGAATAAAGTTCTCAAGAAACAGGTCAGAACAATTACTATATCGGTGTGAAGTCCAAGCAAGTGCTGTAGAAAGTCATTTCACGAAGATTCAATTTCTTAAATTAGACTAACATCCAAGTTTTAAGTTTTCACTGAGGTCCAATTTCTAAATATGGCCAAGATACAAATTTTAAGCTTCGCTCACTTTCAAATTTAAAAAAAAATCCATTTTTTAATATGATCAACATGTAATCATTATGTTTCCTTAAAGATACGCTCGCAGTATTAGTTTCGGACTTATGGATTCCGAAAGGTCCCCGAGAGGTTTAACCGTGTGCAAAGGTTGGGCAAGTCCCGCTGACGTTGTTCTTTGCGCAGGCGACGCCCGAGGAGTGTCTCGAGGCTTTGGAGCTGAGCGAGTGGAACGTCCACCACGCGATCAAAGTGATCAGGGTGAGGGTGTCCGTCGGCGGGCAGGAGGCGCCCGATCTGGCGGACTGCAGCCGCGAGCTGTCGAACGCCGCTGGCGACGTGCTCAAGGCCGCGGCCGCACTAGTGCTCTGCAAACAAAATGACATACAATAAAGACTAACACGGTGCGCTTGTTTCATTTCAACCCTGTATGACTCGCCTCTTGATTGTCACACTTGATGTCAACCATGGCTATGGTTGCCTGATGGGTCGCTAGCTCAGCTCGCGCATTGCACGCGTAAGTCCTGTGCGGTTCTGAAATATTATCTAATTGCCCCATAGAGAAACATGTACATAGACAGTAGTAGAACGATAGTGATACATATGCTATTATTATTTGTCTATGAAAAACTGAACTGAACACGATGGATTATCATACGTCGGTGATGCCACTGACATCAATTAATCAGTGTTAAAAGCAAAATATCCCCTTGGGTACTGCGCTGTGGTGAATGGTATCAACAGGCAAGAGTTAAGCTAATCACTGGTCACTGCTGGACAATGATAATACAGAGGGTGGGATTGGAGCGAGCGGACAGTGATGGTGCAACGTGACGAGAAGCAGCTAATACGATGATGTTATTCTACAGTTACCTAGTGTTATCCTATTTGTCAAAGAGCACTCGAAATCTTGAAAAGAAAACTTTCTTTCGGAAATGGCAATTTGTTCCATTGTGCGGATGTAGTACTGTTTGCAGGTACTTCCTATCTAGTATTAGTCCCTCACTTCCGTCTGCCATACCCCGTATATGATGGTACAATATGGATTGAGAGATAATAATTCACATAGCGAATACATGTTGGACACGCAGCCTGTTTCTCCCGATGTTTTTCGTGATTTCAAATATCATTTAAAATTGCTATTAGATATTTTATTAGCGCCGGCAACGAAATTTGGACTAGGATTAGTCTAGTATATAGAATTAAAAGGTGAGGTGGTTCTGAAATAAGTTAATAATGTTTATCTCAAATTTTTTCTACAAATCATAATGATTTTTTGAAATACTCTGTTACATATTGTTTATCGTCATATTCTCTGCATCATCATTTGTAAATGATAATGGGGAGGGGGAGGGGGACTTTGGAAAAGAATTAAACACAGTAACTTTCCGTATTACAATTTATTTACAATGCATTGAAATTTAAGGTAACATAAAAAGAATATACACATTTCTTAAATTAAAATCCTATTATTACCTACCTGGGGCCAATTATCCTAAAAATTATACGATGCTTTTATGTATCTGTATATATGAATTATATATTTTAAGTGTGCTTTACAATCGCTCTGTTTCAACATATTTGAGATATTATTTATCCACGTAATACAATGCACGTAGCACCACGTTTACAACTCAACAAAAATATTTACTTTCATCGGTATTGTTTATTAATTATAATTTCTGTCGTATTAACGCCAAAACATTTTCGTGCGTTTATTAATGATTATTATGAGAAATCAATTTTTACCAAAATTTTCAAATACTTTTCAAATACTTCATTTATATATTTAGACAAAACTTATACAAATTTACTAATACGTACTACTAAAAGTATCCATGCCTAATGTACAGTATACGATTGCACGACGGAATGGCATGTAAGTTACTCATTAACCCAAAAGATTCTTTAAACCTACTTTCGCTTTCTTTTCGAGTTAGCAATGAGCACTATGTCTTAAATTCAATAATCTTATTGAACTCAATAGCACAGCGTAACTGGAATGAACATGGCCATGTCTAACTTTGAAGTGTAATTCGATTTATCTTGCGTTTTGTTACTTTTGTTTTATTATTAAACGTTTAACCTATACGCTTCTGAAAAAAAACTGTAAAGAGTTAATCTATACATAATAAATGTAAATAATAAAATATCTTATTCGTAATAGTTCTTCCGGCTGTGAATGAGAATGGAAATTTTTAATGTATTCCGTTTCATAACTGAAAACAACTTTCCGTCGTATTTCGACTCACCTAAAACGGGCCCCGCCGCCAAGCGGCAACTTCAATTAGGCAGATGCAACATTGCACACCAGCAAAGATTTGACAATGTTACTCAACCGACCGACGGTCAGCCCAATATATCTCGACCCACGAACCTTATGAAACTCTTCTTAGAGCTTTGAGTATTTGTAACTTTCGGGTATCTTTCGGGATCAAATTGTTCTGGTGGTTATCCGCAAGGCTTAACGAAAAGCAACGCACACATATAATTTAATTATGCAAGAGTTTTAGAAGTATTCTTTGTTGTTTCTCACGCTCAAAACCTTCTTGTAACTTGGTAGTTTGCTAACAGTATATTTGTATTGATAGTTTTGATTATATAATATACCTATACTCAATGATTGATAGGTACCGTAAGCAAGACCGATCACGGAATTGATTCATTTAAATAGTTTTTGATGCAGCATTTTACAACATAATTATTACATGTGTATCGAATGAAAACGCATTATTAAACTGTTCACCAATTTAATAATGCGTTATTACCTTTTGAGTTGCGATTTGACACTTTCAAAAAGAAATTATTTTATATGATGGGTACGTGTTGATTAGGTTAGGCTAAAAACAATTGAACACGACGAATTATGTCAAAACAAAAGGAAACATGGTTACGAATACGAACATGCGTGTTCAACAAAGGATTTTCTATTCGACGTTGGTAGCAAAGCGTGTGATAAAACGTTTATTGCTGTCTAGTTTGGGCAGAAGTTATCGGCCGTGTATATTATAATAATAACATCCAATCGCTGTACTGTTTGTCGCTTACGTACGGTGCATCTAGATTTGCGTATATTTGGGGCTGTTTATCTTGGTGCTATGAGTACACAATAGTAGATAGAGGCGTATCGGCGCATGCGCGAGTTTTTTGGCCTAGTTCTCGGACGGGGCCGGTGTTCATGTGTGCGTGTCATGTATACGCTACTAGGTTTGCGTGCATGTGTTGTTTCGACACGTAGGACGCCGCTCGACCTAGATCGCGGTGCCGGCCGGTTCATAAGCCGGCCGCTGCGACGAACAACTTTTACAACATTTTCGCTTAGGAAAATTTTACTAGCAAACGCCGTGTACTCCCAAGACGAATATAACATAAAAGAAGAGAAATTTCCGAAAGATATGTTCTGCACATTATTTACCAACATATAAAGTACACAATCATACTTCATAAAGTATTATCAAAACTTGGCCAACCCTTAAAAGATTTGATAATATTGCAGAATTCCTTAACTAGATAGTAAAGAAACAACAAAATTACTTGTTATAATCAAGAAATTTATTAACACGTAACGGTTTTGAGTAGATATAAGCGTGTCTTTACCATCGCGACAATAAATGAACACACATATAGAGGATAACTTTTTAAAATTTTATTAAAGATTTACATTCTTTAAACATCAATATTTAACGAGTTACCAAATTTTCCAAAACAAAGAATTTTCGAACACCCTTACGTATAAAACTTTAATGTTAAGTTCATTTGTAAAGGTCACAAAGCATTTGAATGGTTGAATGAATTTAAAAGAGACAAAACATACTGTAAGAAGGAGAGGCTTATAATGCGACGCTGTGGCAACGAATTAAAAAGTCTCTGAATGTATGAATCAGTCATAAGTAGTTGTATAGGATGTTACAAATTTTGTTTCTTTTTTACTTAATTAGTTTGTTTGAAAAATATTTTTTTGTAATTATGGATTTTTTTAACGTTAATATTTTTTTTTGATTATTGGCAAGTAGCGTTAGACGTGTGTTCATTTATTGTCGCGGTGGTAACGACACGCTGTATAATATATAAGTATATTTACTTAAACTAAAAATGTAATTGTCTTCAGAAAAAAAGAGACAGAACAAGTGAGAGATTTTGCCAGTCGAACTTCATGACTGTGTTCATACTCAGATTACAGAAGGAACTTCTAGAGAAGTTCTTTCTGAATTCTGAGTGTTAATAGTTAAATAACAATATTATTAAAAGCAGGTAAGTTTCCGGAAATTTGATAGATTTGAGCATGAGACTGCGAACGGTACTCTTGATATCAAATAAATAGATTACGTATTTTTCTACAATACTTAAATGGCAAGAGGTCCGCTTTCATTTGCCTTTTACAATTCTGACAACAGTTTCTTGCCGTATGATGATCATAGTATGCTTTGTCCCTAGATCGACTTGCGAGACATCGGTCTCAGTGACTTGAAGAGCTAAGTTATGTCGAAACTAACTTGTCCATAGGTTAACCACTTATCCAAGCTAAACCTCCGGACAAAGGTCCACTTACAAAGTAACATTTGAACAACTATATCGGAATGAGGGCCCTCGCTCGCGCTTATTACTAGCGCAATCAATATCCTACGCAATCCAGCATACAGCATATAACGGTTTGATTTTATTTACAAATAATACTTCATAGGTGCTATGCGTATACGTATGCTCAGCTAAATACTCGTATTTTACTAATCTTGGCCACTGTTCGTGTCAGTGGGTTGATGTAGTAGGTAGGTCTGCGAGCTGGGATATGTTTGCGATTGGTGTTAGATTTTTGTTTGATCCACAAGGTGACCACAATTACCCTTACCTCGGTGCAATTGGAGTCAAAACTGTTTTTTACTTTAACTCTTTTATTTGCCAAAGTTAATTATTAATGTGATGACCATTGATCTCAAATGATAGCCAAGTAAGTAGACTTTGTTATGAGGCGGTTGCAATAAAGATTCTGTTTCAATCTTTTTTATTATTTCAATTTTCGCTTAAGTGACCTCATCACCCGATTTTCCCCTAGATGATGTCAATGACACACGATAATTTGTTTTGCTAAATAATTGATAAAAACAAAACATCTATTAACAGTATTTATGTTTGTTTCTCTTATTTTACTGCTAGTCTGCACTAAAGCTAAAATTAAAATGGGAGTTTAATGTAAATGTAAATTGTTGGAACATTTTCGACGCTGCTGGCGTTCTATCAACAATATATTTTCTTTGAAGAAACAGGTCCTTAAGACTAAATAGGACGTCAACATAAAAATTGTACATAATTTGTATGGCAATATTTAGTAAAGAAATTTAATCACCATTCGCGACAGTTTGTATTCGAAATCTTTTTGTTCCCTTGACGCTATG